ATATATATATATATATATATATATATATATATATATATTAAAATAAATTAGGGTTACAGTTAGGTAGTTAGTTAGTATAGTTAGTTATTTTATCTAAAATAAAGATTTATTTTCAAGTTTACATAAAAATAAATAAAAATATTCCTTTAAAGCGAACTAGAAACTACACATAATCCTATTTAAAATCGTTTTTTTATAATTTGTTCATTCTACTAAATGTACAAATATCTTAATATTTAGCATTTTGAAACGTTTTAATTAAAAATAAATTATCAAAAATATTATAAACACTAAATTTATGTCTCTTGCGCATTTTCTTGTGTGTTTTCGGTATTTTGTTATTTTCCGAGAAATTTCGAACAAATTAAAAAATCTCAATAATTCCAATGAACCTCTGATTTACAAAAAACATATATACCCGTAAATCTTATGATGATCGGTGTATTCATAAATAATGATATTAAAATTGTACAAATAAAATGTCACTTTCATGGAATTTGAAATAATTGAGGTAATCTTTATATAATTATTAAAGAAAGTTTAATATTCTTCCATGAAAATTAAATAAAAAAAAAATAATTTCATTTCTTAATGTTGGAAAATTTTATTCAAACGAAATGTTTTTCTCTTTCTTTTAAACTTGTTATGCGTAATACTTTATCAGTAAAAATTCAAATACTTTTCGCTAAAACCCCAAATGCTCAGTACATAACACGTTTTAGTGCATAATAACTAATTCAAATGTATGAATTCTTAAAAAGTTTAAATGTTTTAACGGTTAGCCACCGAAATACGAAGCGAGACCACAGACCCATTTAAGATGGCTTTTTTTACTTAATTACTAATTTCTAATTTTCTTAAATTTTTTTTTTACTCCCAAAGCATAGCACTTTTGGTCCAATACAAAACAGCAAACAATTTTTTTGTGTTTTTTGGTTACCTTATCACTGTATTATGAACTCGTAGACGGATCTTCGCTCGTATTCCAGTCGGTCTAGAAGTTTATTAGAAAAGTTTTATTCGTCCATACGTTTGTTTGGTCGTGGTTTTCGTGTCCGGCGTGAGACGGTTAGCCACGACGCGTTTGTGTGTTTCCGTCCCCGAACACGCGATAAACTGTTATTTTTTGTTTGGTTTTTGTATTTTTTTCGACCGTGAATATGTTCGGCGCCACACTTCGTGACGAGAAAAGCACGTGATAACTGACCGGTCGTCGGCAAGCGGCGCGTCGTGAGTCGCGGGTGTTTCGAAACGAACTGATCGAGGTCCGTTGGGGCGTGTGTACGCTCGTCGCGCAGGTGGACGCAAGAACCGACGCGCACTCGCGGACGCTTCGCCACCAAAGACGATATTTTCTCGTTTCGTTTACTTGGCAGTCAACCATCACATGGCCGCTTCACTTTGGCCGTCCCCGATCCCCGACCCTTCGGCCACCCGTGGGTGAAAACGTCGTCTAGATCAAGATCGATCAACTCGGTTCAATAAAAAAACGTTACGATAACCAAATAACTAGATAAAAAAATATTCAAATCAGTTTTCACTGCCATATAAACACGTCTAGATGCTGCGTAATCCGAGGTAACTGTTGATGTTTCTGGGTGCGCATAGCTGAACAGATATTTTTCAATTCGAAACGGCTTTAATCTTGATGATTTCTTACGGTTTTTTTCAACACTATAACTTAACCACGGCGTTAAACGTGTTAATTCGGTATTCGTACAACGGCATCGAATGCTCGTCAATAAAATCATCTTGCGGAATAACTAGGATATAACTCGCTAGAAGACTATCACTGCTGTTAAGTCTAGTAATGGATGTTTATAGTATTGTTGCGGGTCTCTAAGGGCTCGCTATTTGCATGAAATAAATACTTAAAAAATGAGCAACACGATAATGTAAATGATTTTCAGTATAAAATGTAATAATCAAATGTTAAAACCTAATTATTTAACCGTAGCGTTGAACAATAACGATCTGATTGACAGACGGATTTGATATACGTGAACGCACTCGATGTTGTTAAGATATTAATAGGTGTTCGCGCAAAGACGATATTATGTCAATTTTTTTTTTTTATTCATATGACATATTAATTGGTGAAACCTTTTAAATTAACATATATAAAACTATAAATTATAAAATAACTATAAACATAACATATAAAAACAATAGAATGACTGCAACACATCTCTTGCTCTAAAGGTGAACTTTCAGGGTACTAAGCCAATCTTGTGCCTCGCTGTCTCCTACTATTCCTCCTTCGTACTTTGTAAGAGGGCATACCTCTGCAACGTGTTTGATGTTTTGGTCCTGCCCAAACTCGCAGAGTGGCGTATCTACCATTTTCCATTTATGTAAAAGGAAATTACATTTTCCCTGTTCTGTTCTAATTCGGTTTAGAGTGGTCCACATCGCACGTGGGAGTTCAAAACCTGGAATTCTCTGGGTTGGATCGTTGATGAGACGGCCATTTACGACATTTTCATCTCTCCAAATTATCTTGGACAGATCCTCCGGAACATTTGTTGTACTCTCAATAAGCTAAATAGGGTGTCTAGATTTCAATCGTTTGAAAGGCGCATCATATATGTCGTTATGGACTGGGAGGTGTGTCGAGTTTTTGATTTGTTCTAGTATTTTTTTCGTTGCTGCATATCTGCGTATTTCTGGTGGGGCTATATTTGAAAGTACCGGTAGCCACTGCACCTTCGTTGACCGAACACAACCTGATATTATTCTCATTGTATTGTTTAATTCCACATCTACTTTTTTCGTGTGCGCACTCCTCCTCCATACTGGGGCACAGTATTCCGCTGCACTATATACCAAGGCCAGAGCAGAAGTGCGAAGGACATTTGCCCTGCACCCCCAGTTTGTTCCGGCCAGCTTACTGATAATATTGTTCCTAGTTTTTAGTTTGTTTTTTACTCTTTCTAAGTGCTGTTTGAAGGTTAAAGTCCTGTCTAACTTTATTCCCAAGTATTTCGGGCCATCTTGTCTTTGTATGTTAACTCCCTGAGCCATTAAGTTTAGTTTTCTATCTGATTCTCTGTTATTTAGGTGGAACGCAATGGAAGTAGTTTTGTTTGGGTTGCGTGTTAGGTGCCATGGCTTAAAATATGTTTGTACTATGGATAGATCCTCATTCAGTATTTCTTCCAGTTTTTCAAACGACTCGGCTTCAGCTACTAAACCCACGTCATCTGCATACATAAATTTCCGCGATGTTGTGTTCATGATATCAGATGTGAAAAAACATTAAACAATACTGGGGAGAGGACAGATCCTTGAGAGAGGCCGTTTTGGGAGTACTTGTACTTACTCTCACTCCCGTTTAGGAGCACTCTAAATTTCCGGTCTGATAGTATAGAGTCGATAAGTCGTATAGACGTTTTACATTTCAGTATTTTCGCTAATTTCAATAGTAGGCCACGTTTCCAGACCGTATCATACGCACACGATAGGTCGAGAAAAACTACCCCTGCTTTTAATTTCTTCTGAAATCCGTTTTCAACATGCGTGACCATTGACAGAACCTGCTCACAACAGCTTCTTCCTGATCTGAAACCTGCCTGTTCCTTTGGTAGATTTACCTCAATTTTTTTTGAATTTTTGTTAAGAGTACTCTCTCGAATAATTTATATACTACTGATAATAATGATATTGGTCTATAACTCTTTGGGTCATTACCTGGTTTACCCGGTTTCAAAATTGCAATTACTTTAGATTCTCGCCATAGTTTAGGTAGTACATTATTATTTTTAACTGATGAGAAGAAGCTTGCTAACCAAGCTTTACTTTTTAAACCTAGATATTTGAGAAATTCGGGTAAGATGCCATCTACGCCGGCAGCTTTACCACTTTTAACGAGCTTCATTGCATTTTCTACATCCTTCATTCTAAAATCTTCCATACTTTCAGATTTTTCTACACAACTATTGATTACCTCTTTAAAATCATGTTTTATCTTCAGATTTTCTAGCTTCCCTGGTTTTATATTTGAGGTCTTGAAAAGGATGTTTGAGATGGAATTGGGTGATACCTTGCTCTCCCTCCATGACGGTTGGGCTGCTCCCAGTTTCCTAAGCAGGGACCAGATTTCTCTACTCGAGTGCGTGAAGTCCATTTCATTCATCTTCTCTAACCATCTCTTTTTTCGTTCTTCATCTAGTAGACGGATAAGACTATTTGCTGTAACTTCGTTTCCATCTCTTTCATACTCCTGAAGTAACGATTCACATTGTTTCGTCCAGCAGGGTGTGTAACTGTGTCTATGTCCTCTGGGTATCGATTTCTCGGCTGCTGTTTTGATAAATTTAATAAACCTAACATAGTTTTCCGGTATAGGTTTAAATCGGTTAATATTATCTTCAACATATTTTGTATACATAGACCATTCAGCTTTACACAGGTTCCATCTAAGCATGGGGGGTTTGTCTATGATCGGTATTATAATTCCAACGTCTACGATAACAGGTAAGTGCTGGCTCCTTGGGAAGGGACCCTGAACTTCTCGATTAACACTTAGCAGTAGGCCATCTAAGTTCTCAGACACAAAGCAAAGATCTGGAGATGTTTTCGTACCCCACCTACCAGATACAAATGTGCCACCCTGTTTGACATCGTATATCAGTTTTAGACGGTTTATAGCTGCCCAGTCTGAAAGTGTTTCGCCATCTTCATTTTCAATAGAGTAGCCCCATTCGGTACTGTGGGAGTTGAAATCTCCAATGTAGATAACAGGGTGTTGGCATACGGGTAGTACAGTTGCTGACCAATTACACGATGGGGGTTTGTAAACATTAAAAATAGTCAGGTTGTCGATTTGAACACCAACTGCATAATCATTGTCCTCCACACGCTCAATGTTCTGAAAGGGCTTCTTTTGGATGATATACGTTGCTAATCCATGTTTTTTATGCTCAATGTAATTTACCAAATCAAAACCTATAATCTTAAAGCGGCTTGTTTCTCCTTCTGGGACATAAGTCTCTTGAATAGTTAGAACGTCTACTTCGGAAAAGATTTTACTATGGATGTCTGCCTTAGCTCGGGTCAAACCTTCGACATTTATTTGAGCTATTTTGATATTGTTCCTCACAGTTCTAAAGTTTTTAGAATCACAGTGTACCTGACTGTCGCCCTTCTTTTTTTTCTTTTTTTTGTTTTCTTCTTTTTTTTTTTGTAATTTTGGATTTAAGAAGTGTCACGTGCTAAGCACGACTGTCAGAGGGATTGCCCTGAAAAGGGCAGTTTTCACTAACTAGGCCGGGAGGTTTTACAACGTTCGGCCGCCGGTTTGATTCTGTTTGGTTTCGTGTTGTTTTCATATCCGATAATATCATGTTAGTACTGTAACGCAGAATTATCAAGAGGATCTAAAAACAACAGTACTTACAGTGGGGACCACGGGAAGGTACAGCATCTTCCTCGACTAATGTTATGCGCGTCGTGGTAGACTCTTGACGTAAGATATGTACCCCCCCCCCTTTATCTGTCGTAAAATATTGTAATCGATATTTGAATGAACTTGACTAAAAGTGGAGCGGTCAACACTTCTTGCACAAAATATTCATTACATCATGCAGTATATTAAGTTGTATGTGGGTTCCTAAAGTGAAAATTGGGAACGATAACTTTTCGCGTCCATTTCATTGCAGATGAGTAGGATGTTTCATGAAGTCTAGTCCAGACCAATAGAATAATGTGACAGCTAGAAGAGTTAGGTTGTTATTTAAAAAAAAAAAAAATAAAATAAAATAAAAAAACGTCAACAGCAAATTCAGGGCACCATGGGCGAAATAAGGGGATGGGGGAAAGCCTGGAGCCATCTCTTTCACAATAATCTGTTACCGATATCCCGTTATCGCGTGTGCATGCTGTAAGCATAGACACCATACGATAGTCGTGTCAGTTTTTCTATGCAGATTTTACAACAATGTTTTGAGAGTGGAAAATCGTTAACTGCCCGTTGTTGTTGTTGAAAAACATAGTCGAAAAGTTTACGATTAAATTTGAATGGTTAACGTGTTGTCATAACGATTTTTACTTTTTTTTGTTGTAAATATAAATATTGAAAAAAGCATTCGAAACGAAGCAAACTTTAAAATGTCCTACATATTTAAGATTAACATGATGTATAAAAAAATAAAAAATGCACAGAAGAATCACGCGTTGAGGCGAGAATATCGATATCTTATACAGTTCTTAAAGCAAACAATACCACATACTTATATAAATATGATGTTATGGATTTTCATAACGAAGA